TTTTATTGGGCTGAGCCTCTAACAGCCATCGCTCAATGCTTGCTGACCGACCAGATCAGCGATTTGCAAAGTTACGGCGGCCAGTCATAAATACATGTTGTCGTTCGTGACGTGCGCCACCTGGCGCACATGATTGCACTGTGAGGTCGCTGTCGGTTGGCAGTGTAGCACTGCGTTTTCATTGTCAGTCGGCAGTGTAGCATCGTGTGGGTACTGTCGGTCGGCAGTGTAGCACTGTGGGCATTGTCGGTGGGCAGTGTGGCACTGTGTGGGCACAGCCGGTCGGCATTGTGGCACTGTAGGCACTGTCGGTCGGCAGTGTAGCACTGTGTGGCACTGCCGGTCGGCAGTGTAGCACTGTGTGGGCACTGTCGGTCAGCAATGTATGCCTGTCGTCGGCCGACAACGCCAATTTCATTCATATGATCCGCCGAGGGCGCGTCACTGCAAGCGGCTCTCCAGCCGGTAGCGTGGCTGACAGCACACGGCAGTCCGGGGAAAAATATCATAAGAGAGCGCGGAAAGTGCGACCTGTACATTTGATAGAACTGCTCCAGGGCTGTCAGCTGGCACTGAAACATGCGTGTCGGCTGACAGCATTTATTTCCTTGTTCCCCTGACACCTGCCACTCGACGCTGGCGGGCTGGCCGCGGCGGTGATTCACGAAGTCACGGTGGTCAATTCAAACACTTGTTTGTCGACGGCGTCGGTTGCGGCCGTGTGCACGTGACGGCGCTGAAGGAGCATTTCTGGCCTGCAGCGTACATCGGCCGTCGGCCCACAACACCTCCGCTGTTCGTATGACGCCCTGACCGCACGCTGCTGAGTGCTGTGGGTCGGCCGGTAGAATGGTGGCCGACAAACCGCAGCCAAGCAACAGTTGTTACAGTCGCGCGAGAAGAGTACGACCGAAGTCATTGTGAAGCCAAAGCTCATACCAAAAGCACGTCGTTCAAAGGTGATTTTTATATATGATTTAATACTGCTAATTTCATCACCGTTCTATGCTGTGTCAGTGATATTGAGATATGTGATAGATTGACAGGGAAATCACCAGTTCTTTACTGAATGTTTTATTTGGCCCGTATGCACTGTGCAAACATATGCCTATACGTGTTGGCAGCTCGTGACCCTTCAGTGCTATTATCTTTCGCGGCGTTTCCCGTGTGTTAACTCGCGAACCGCTTAATACGTTAGCCTGTTCATTGTAAGTTGTTACCTCTAAAGGTCATGCTGTATTAAAAAAGCATTTGATGTTCGTCACTACGGCCTATGGTGACAACTTATCGCAATGTTTTAATGCGTTATCAGATGAGTTATATCAGGAGGGAAGCTGATGTGTATTCTGTCCAACTCAGGTGCGAAATAATACCAGGTCAAGTCTTCTTGAAGCCAAAATAGATGCTGCCTGGACGTCAGCGAACACCCACAGTTGCTCCCAGTCTGTCAGTTACATTTTCGTAAATACATAACCACCGTTCGCGTGCCATTGGGCAGCTTGTATAAAACCGCGAAGGTATTTTCGGCCTACGTCTAAAATCCAGTGCGGATCTTAGGGACCCAGTCGGCATAGGGTCTCACGGGACGTCGATCCCATCACCTTTGGTTTCTTTTCCAACTGCTATAGACGTTGCGGATCTGCGAATCGTTGAGCTTGTTCGTCCATGTATTTTCCGTACATGTAATAATTATGATCTCGGGATGTCGCAATATATCGGCTTGGCATTTCACATTGGTTACCACTCCCACTTGTATTGTAATTCGTTACAAGACGTGTTATGTACCTATGTAATGTATGTATGTATGTATGTTGCGTATGTATGTAATGTATGTATGTATGTATGTATGTTACGCATGTATGTAGTGTATGTATGTATGTACGGATATATGTATCGATGTATGTATGTTACGTATGTATGTATGTTACGTATGTATGTATGCATGTATGTATGTATGCATGTATGTATGTATGTTACGTATTCCGGCTTTAATGTATGCCAGGAGATTTTGCATTCCAGGATTGTGACTAGGTGAAATGAAATATTTTGTGCTCCACCATGACACAACAAAAACAGTTTATGTTTACCTCTCTGTTTCGGGACGAAATGAAACCAGAGGGTGCAACAGCTTGGGACTTGCTGCTTCCATCAAGAGTCATGCTTTGGTATCTGCAAGAGCACAAATTCTGCACCCACCAGATCTGAACGCCCAACAGCAAGCAGCCTGTGTTGCGGCCCAGCTACACGACAAATCGCGTTGAAAATGTGGAGAACGAAGCGTGTAAATGTTGAATGGAGTCGTTTTTGAGCAATGCCGGAGAATAGGAAACGAGAAGCAGAATCGCATCGGTCTGCGGGTGAGCAAAGCTTCCATTTCCTTCGCCCTATGCAGACCAATTTAAAATCGGACACGACTTAACCTATCATTAAAGACGAACCGCACTAACTGCCATGGATGCAACTAACATTGACAAACAACCGCAAACCCAAGCACCCACCACAGGCGGGCACCTACACACGGTTCACCAATGTGTCATGGCAGTGCAAATGGGAGAATCACCAGCAATTCAGCGTCGGAAACGTCTCAACTATTCAGTGACTTCCGTCCACCTCCCAGCTCAGCCTGAAGGTCGAACATCGCAAAACTATCCAATTGGTTTCAAAGATTCGTCTCATAATGACTGATTTGTCACGAGCGTAAATTTTCTTGTCGCGCCCATGTCTTGAACAGATTTGTAAGATTTTCCAGGAAAGCTGTCTAGAGATGGGCATCGCGATTACGAAGAAGCAGGACTCACCTGTACTCGTTCAGAACTGCGGTTGGTTGGATTTCTTACCACTTACAGGTATCCGGAGTACCAAAATGTGAAAGCAACTGGGCACTTAAATGATGCCTGCCATTTAAGGGTATGAAATTAAAGCTGGTCATTCAAGATATCCTTTGAAGTCGAAAAACGTCGCTATAAGTAGAAAAAACTGTTCAGGGACAACCGGATCTTGTTGTGGCAAAAACGCCCGGAGCCCAGAGTAACACGAGCCCTTTAATTTGGCGTCGCAAATCAAGGAAGGGGATTTGTCTATTACGACGCACCGAAACCCATTAATGCCTTGTACTATCCGCCGGAGTCAGCGAAGCGACCGACTCCGATCCTTTTGGCCGGCCTGAACTTGTCTGTCAGGCATTACACTTGCGCTGTGTCGGTAAATCGGTTGAGAATGCTGCTCGTCTGCATTGCTCGGCTGGTATCTGCGGAGCCTCGTGTGGCGTCCGGAGGTTGAAAGGCAAAGGAGCAAGAGGTTTTTGCGGTGTTTCTTGCCGTTTTTAAAGCCAGTTACCACGTGGAGTGGGAGAAGCGTGACTGTGATGGAACATGAATAGCGTGACCATGGTGAAGCTTGAGTAGCCTCCTCGTGGTGGAGTGTGCGTAGTCGGCCGTCCGTGGCACATTCACTGACATTCTTTTGTGCGTCATTTCTCCGTGGTCAGCTCCAAACTTATTTTGCGAAACTGCGTTCTCACCAAGCGACTTGTCGGCAACTTTGGGGGAACCGCATATTACTAACAGCAACACTTTGGGAGAAATAAACTCGCCTGAACCCATGGTATGGTAAGATTTTCTACAGATTACCCACTGATGTATATGCGCACTTGTTTCATGTTATGGAGCCTGAGACTGCTGTTTCAGTGTGTCCTGTTGAATACTGATGTTTTATTTCATTTCAAGTGATTTAACACGAATTACTGAAATGTGGCCCTTCTGTTGACTACCACTCAATGTACTGTAATTTCCCAATGACAAGCTGAAGAAAAGTGTGATAACTGACAGCACTTGGAAAATTTTGTAGTCGACTTTGGAAAATTTGTAATGAACTTAAAGGAAAATTTTGGAGCTTCCAACACTGTGCCGAGGTTTGAAGAATGCGCCACTTAGTTTACCAATAGCTCGACTGGGCGTGATCTCTGGCCTGGTTGGGCTATCCAAATTTGAAGGTCTCGAGTGTTCGTGGTATCGCGACTCAAAGCCAGCTCCTAATCAAAGTATGACTTGTGGGATTTGAGGCGTGGCAATTTATTGCCTTGGGCGTCCGTAGTGGTTTGCATCGAATGCCGACGTAATATTGCGCGACCTCAAGGAGCCGCGGTTACACACGAGTAAATTATCGATCATTCACTCATCTTGCATCTTGGGCAGCATTTGAAGCCACTTATAAGAAAAAAGTGTGTCACAACGTATTGGCCAACATAGGAGGACTTCCCACGTTTGCATACTTCTGACCCGCTTGCACTACGTTTACATCACCATTTGCATCAGCGTAAGCACAAGCGTCAGCAGTGTTATGTTTACGACCCGTCTGACCTGTAACCCTGTATCTGACCCATGTATGCGCACAGTCCTTTGGTCAGGAAGCTATATCTTACGGTCAGATTTGCACAAAATCGAACGCGTCGTGAATTTGTGCTGAATATAAAGATCGAACTCTTGCCAGCTTTCAACGGCCAGCAGCGTCCCACCAGATTCACAAAAGCGAGCCATACCTCTTCAAGATTGCATCTGACCGTAAACAAAAACAGGTTTTGCTGCTTGCATGCACCGTGCGATACTGCGGAGTCCACAGGATCAATAAGTTTGCAACGCTGCCTTTCTAACGGTCCCAGTATGCACTGCTGCTCCTCTCAGCTAAGCTCGCCTCTGGTCCTTGCCCTCTCAGCCGCCCCCCCCCCCCCCGTCCTCCCACGCCGGCGCGTGACTAGCTCTGTCCCTGGCCGGCACCCGGCCGGACCCGGCACCACCTGCTTCCTGACGGTGGTCTTTATCGTCTGTGACTGGCTGCCCCGCTCCGGCTGATCTCCGCTCCCATAGCTGGGGAACACAGCTCCCCGCGAACGGCCGCTGTCATGACGAAAGGCCGGGTACGCCGGGTCACGGGTCAAGTGACGGTCGGAGGACGGTCGATCGTCCAAACAGGTTCCTGTGCGGCGGAGGCCTGACAGCAGCGCGCTAGACGCGCAGCCGCCTGAGATGAGAGAGGCACAGTTCGTTACTGGCCACACAATCTCACCATGGACGCGTCATAATGTCTGGGTGAAAGGGGCAGGTATCTGGGCAGGTATTTGGGCAGGCATCTGGGCAGATATCCGGGTAGATCCCATCATGATGAGATACATGGCTTTTACAAAGCGATGGGTAGATTCTTCACGAAATGCTACGCCCTGGTGCTGCTTGCACTTCCATGAGTCACAATAAGCTTTATGCACAAAGTAGGCCTTGGTGAAAATGTTCCTTACACTTGCACTAGACTAGAACTGAAATGAAAAAAACACAAACGGTTAGGTGGCAGGCGGGTACAAAAAAAGAGAGTGGGTAGCGGAGAAAGAAAGAGGAACAGCCCCATCGGTAGTGGATGGATTGTATAAAGGAAATATTAGACGCGATGGCCTGTATTTCCGACTGCTATCCTCATGAGCCTCCTCGAAACGGTGTTCAGGTGCTGATAGCGGCGCAGGGAAGCCCCTGGTGCCCAGGCCCCTGAATCAAGATTCCAAACAAAAATTATATGACAGTGATGTGGTATTACAATGAGGCACTTGGTGCCTCATGGTAATAAAAAGTGTTTTTCCACGTCCAGAGCAGCGATGCCCTACGTTGCCCAAAAAACTGACTGATGAGATATTTATGCAGTAGCCACAACGTTATTTATTCTCACCAATCGTATAGCAATAGAACATTTGGAACACCTGATTAACCGGCACTTACGCTAGTTTGTAGGTGAGCTTCCTAGTAGATGCACAATTAGCAATGTTTTAGGTGCGGACCCAGCTAAAACGCGCAGTGTCCCCCTCCCCCTCCCTTACGAGTGCTAACACCAGCTCACTTGATTTGGCCACCCTCGGCTGTGGTAGCTGGCTGAGTGTGCCAATGCTTCTGATGGTCACGCACCTGATGTGCCATAGCGAAACACCTCAGTCATCATCGGGATACCTGACGTCATCGCCCTGCGGAGAGGTACGGGAGTCGAGCTCCATACCACTCCGAGCCGTGTATGTGTAGACGAAGACGAGACCATTCTTACGGTCACACACACGGCAGAAGACTTCGGAGCCTGTGCGCTTTAAACCTGCGTCAATATTTGGAGCCACGAAACGCACCTGCGCGGCTCCACAGATGGTGCGCCCATGGTTTTGGCATAAGCCGCACGTTTTTGCTCGAACACATTTCTGACGAGTGAAAATATATGTACTGGTATTCAGGAGAGGCACGCTCCATCTCTAGACGCCGGCACGTTGGCGACCGCGTGCGGCCTACTTGACGAGGTGCGGCTCCGCGCGGGTGTGGCCCGAGTGGGTGTCGACTTAAATCGCAATCGGATGTGCGATGGTGTGCGTGTTGGGGGGGGGGGGGGAGGATGCAAGCATTTGCATGGCTCATCGAAATCCCAGCTGAGAAGCTTGCCGTACCCGTCCCTCGTTTTTCCTCACGCCGCGCGCGAGATGCTGAAAAATGAGATGTGTGGACATGTAAAAAACAAATGTGCAGACGGGGGTATGTCGCCAATGCCAATTGACGGACACAAGAAAAAAGCATTGTAAATCTCCGGATGGCCGGAGAGGAGAAACTGTTTCCGATATTAATACCAGACTCGAGCTTTATTCCGCACTTGCACATGAGATTTCAACTCAGAGCCGCGGTCCCTGGAGTTGCTTCCAACTTTAACTCCGAGTAACAGTTCCAACTCCCAACTTCAACTTGAGTCGACTCAATTTCTGACTCGAAAGAAAAGGCTCGATGCCGTAACCGAGCCAGATGAAGTCAGTTCTGCAGACAGCAGCTTATGACAAAGTGCTCTGGCGAACTATTAAAAGGTTATTTGATGCATGTATTTCATACTGATTATCAACGTGAGGTATTTGGTACATAGGTGTGCCATTGGAGCTTTACGACGCAGTCCGCTGCTTAGGCTATATGGCGTCACCTGCCTTTCACCCTGGCAGGAAGGGCAGACACCGCGGGGAATCATACCCCGCATCTCTGGTTTCCCAGACGCGTAGTGATAACGCAGACGCGTTAACCACCACGCTACCGGCGCCCCTATTTGGTACATATATCAGCTGTCATTCTGTTGATGCAGATATTTTCTTACATTTATTTTCAATTCGACTGACTGGTTTTATAGGCTCTCGCCCCGATTTCGACTTAGAACCAGTGTTACGAGGAATTCATCCCAACCTGACCCAGAACAGGTGCAATGGACTCTGGAGTAAATAAAACCTGGAATAACCCGCGTGGTGGTCATGGATGCACTGACCCCTGTGACTCTTAGAAAGTATGTTGTGTAATCTTTTAACCTGTTCAAACTTCATATAAAGACGATGTAAATGCGATGGTACAAATATGCGTGAATACGTAATCACAAATATACCAACTACTAGATATGTAAATGCGATTGCATGGCGGAAAATGGAGTGACCCAGGTGTAAGTAGCTTTGAATTCACCCATTCTGTTGTTAGCAAAGTAAACTGACTACGTCGCCGCGACGTTGTCTTAGCGTGCCATTTTCGCCCCACTGCGTTTTACATCGGGGTACGTTGCAACAGCGTCGTGAAGACAGTTGCTGGGCGCAGGGGTTGCTGTGGTTGCCGTGTAATGTGCGGATGGCGCCTTCATGGGACCCGGCGGCGGCAGTGTGCAACGTGGTGCGGACATGATGGCGACGCTGCATATCTAGCCATGGTGATCGCGTCTAGATGCTTTCGGGAACAGGTTAGGTACAGTGGAGTGCAAACGATGGTGGCTATTCAGCTAGTCGTGTCTAATGTTAAATATCCATGGTTTAGTATTGTGGGAAGTGCATTGGCCTGTGCAGCATGCTTGGAGTGGAGGCGCTTCATCTATTGCCATGCACCTTCTCAGCTGCTAAAATGGCATGGGGTCGTCACGGAATGTCGTGTGGCGTGATTTGGTGCGCTGTGTTCAGGCTTGCCAGTGAAAGGGCGGCTGCTGATTAGTTTTCTGGAAATTTGGCATCTGCAGGCGTGCAGCGGGGAGACTGAAAACTGTTGGGTAAGAGCTTTACCCTATGCTTTTTATTGCTGCAGGATATCATGTGTCCTTTTTCTGTAAGCGCCACATGCTTTGCTCGTTTTGTGTCCAACACTGAAGAAGTGCATTTCCAATTAAACTGAGCGGAAGGAAATCGTTTTTCTCCGGAGATGTTTTAGCAAAGTAGAATTTCACAGAAAGGGATGTGTTTAGCCTTGCAGTGTGCTAATCCGTAGTCATCCAGCTTTATGATTATTCAAGATTTTCGTAGTGATTGGCATGTCATGGCAGATACGTAACAGATATCATGGTGTCAGTCTAATAAAGCTCAGGAGCTTAAACTTAGATAATTGGATGGCTCATTCTATCACGGTCTAACTTTATGGTGCTTTTTTAGTACACAACTTTGCGTGCCCTAGCCTGGCGATTTTTTAATACAAGTTCGGATGCATTTGGGATAAAATAATCTTTCGGCACCGTTTCACGAATATCCCCAAGATTTTTTTTTTAAAAAGTGCATTGGCTGAGCGATATAAATGATCTAAGGTCCCAAAAAGTCCCCCAGAAAAATTCGGAAGTATGTCATGGACCCAAGAGGACCAGACCTTTCCATAAAGAGCGAAATTGGGCCCTAGTTCCCGGACCAAGTGGTGTCCAGGAAGCAGCCATTGAATCCCGGGATATATTTGTAGCCCTGTTCACTTCGGTCACTTGCATTCACAGTCAGCTCCCTTGAACCAACATAACACCCGGCCGCACCGGACCGTCTTGGACCGAAATATCGGGCCTGTCTGGCTCGCACAAGCGACAGCGGCCAGGTCACGTGGTCAGTGACCCGGAGGCGTGAATACAGCCGGCCGTGTCGGTTAAACGCTGACCGGACGGACTGAAAGCCGGCCCGGGAACCCGTTACGAACAGCCTGCTACGTATTTACGTGACCTAGAGGCATATTTAGCCTCACTGAAGGAATGATGGCGACATGGTAACTACTATTGAATTCGCATGATCATCAGTTGGGATTACCTGTGAAAGCCAATCTGACGGGTAATTGTCGTCCGTCGAAGCCTTCGGCGGTTGTAAGCCAAGCGAACATAATGAAACTGAAAGAAACATCTAAGAATCACGTGTGAACCGTCAGACGATAGAAACAACAGTTTCTTAGCGTGCTAGTCTACTGTCAGGAACGAGCTCGCTGCGTTGCGTTACGATTTAACCGACGTGTTCGACTAGTTTTTTTCGCCCATGGTTAAGATTTCTGATAGTCCACTGGTGAACAATCCAACATTTTGCATTGTTCCGCGAATCGTCACGACGGTAGTGACATTTGAAGCTGCAACGGCGATGGTAAGTCTTGAGACTGTTGCCATGAGCAACTGTCACAAGCATAAAGTCAACGCAGTGAGGTCCAGTCGCGCTGGGCAACGTCAACAGGAGAAGGAAGGCCGTGGGGCAGCCCACGACGCTCGTCTGCCGCCTCTCGCAGCTTCGACTACGCCTGTCGACCTGCCCATGGCCATCGCAGTTCAGCGGATGCCCACGTGTGAGGCGCGATGTGTGTCACTGGGTTACCGCGGCCATAATGGAGGACGACGCCCGGGGCCGGCGGCTCGGCCTGTGAACACCTGCGAATGGAGGCGCTGGCGCTGGCTCAGCCTGGCTGCCCGGCCTCGCCCGCCTGTCAGCTGGCGGCTGAAGAGAGAGGAAGAGAGAGCTGCTGGCAGCAATGGCTGTCCTGGTAGCTGTTGTTCCCCGTCACCGTGCGACCCACTCTCCTGTGGCGCGAACGGGAGCGTCACGCCGGCGTGCGGCGCTCCGGCGGCGCTCGGCGGCTTCGGCAGAGCGAGCTGTGCTGAGTCACTGGTGCTGAGTCAGTCCGCCCATCCCACCGTGCTCGATTGCGAGTCACGCAAGGGAAGTGAGCGGTGGCTGGCTCTTCTCATCGATCAGTGCATGCGCCTAGCCTCGGTGAAAAACTTGTGCTGTGCGTGTTCCTGCACTTTGACACAAGGGCAGCATATGGGGATTTCCGCGTAAGTCGTGATTGTCATGCAGCAAAACTGCAACCCTGGTAAGAAAAACATTCAGGGCTAAAGAGGCGTCTCTTATAGAATCACTGGCATTTAGTCCTGGTGGTAATTTTTCATTACGGTAACCGACCCAAATGCAGTGATCGTCTATCGCTCAAAATCACCGATGCATGTCAAAGTGCACGCACAAATGTTTTCTCAAAATCGACTACTTGAGTTCCCCAAACCCTGCGAAGTTATTGTCGTGGTGTGCGTGGTGGATCATTCTACACTGGTCGTACTCGCAAGTCTGGAATCATCAAGCTGCCGGTCACGTGCCGGCATCGCGTGCTTTACAACATGTAGCGCATATTGTCCATAGTTTTTACCCACAATGAATACACCCTTTTGCATACCCGTGTTATAAATTGCGAGGGTCGCTTTCTTGGGATACCGAGTTCGTCGCGGTAATATATTTCGCGATAAATTTATCACAAACCACTTCTAGGGAACCACGTCAGCTGCCAATGCACGCACTATAAAATCAACAAGGCTTCATAGTAAAAAACACATCAGAGCCTTTACTGGGATGCTTAAAGCTTTCCCCCTGATAGTACAAATAAATCGTACGTTCGCGTGGGTAACAAGCTGTTCTTTTCCCGTTGTCCGCTTCCGCGTCAACTTTCAACTACATCCGCTGCGATGAATCAATGTTGTATTACCTGAGGGCACGTGGGGCAGGACAAAATGAATCAAGTCCTCGATGTTGATCACATATCTTCGGAAACTTCGAGGGAGATAGAATGTGCACCATGCGAATTCAATTTTGTCCAGTCTACAAGCTTGCAGGCAGATGCCAGGCAAAAAGCCCCGGTTTTCCCACTAAGGGGTAGGACGCCCTCCCCCGTGGTACGCCCTACACTAGGGCACTTATTCCGTCGGCCGTCACCATCTGGTCGTTCTGTCATCCGTCATCGGGTGATGACATCTGCTTCTCACGTGCCGTCGGACCTGTGGCGCTCGTCACCTGTCACCAGGGCTGTGACGTCGACTATCTGTCACACAGGTACGCCTTCACCGCCCGCGGCGGCGACGCCAGCCGACGGGCGGACGCTGACGAGTACGGCCCGTGCGACTGAGCAGCAGTCCAAGCGAGCTGCGACCCGACCGGTGACTGAGGCTGGACATCGGGGAGCCCGAGCCTGCAGCAATCACGTTTTGCTGGCGGACTCGGCCTGGGCGGCAGCCTCGGCCTCTGCCTCCGCTGCCGCCGCCGCCGCCGCTTCCGCCTCCTTTCGGCCGCGGATCGACCGGTCCCAGGAGTCGACACCGTTCTTGACCAGCAGGATCTCGTACAGCAGGCTGACTGGTCGCTCCACGCCCGGGAACATGTACCGCTGCCACACCACCTTGTTGTATTCCCACTGCACCATGTTGAAGCCGAGCTGGCGCAGGTAGGTCACCGTCTCGTTGGCCTCCAGGTAGTAGCTCATCTGGAGCCGAGGGTCGAGGCGATAGTGGATCTCGAAGCCGATCTGTTCCACCTTGTCCAGCACGAACTCGCCGGCGCCGTCCAACAGCTGCTGCGCCATCATGTCGAACTCGCCGCCCTCGGCGTCCATCTTCAGGTAGTGGATAGTGCGGTTCTCGTGGCCGAGAAGCGTCACGATCTCGTCCAGCGTGTAGATCTGCCAGCCGTACACGTTGGAGTGGTTGTTCCGGCCGATGCCAAAGTGATGGAACGTGATGCCCGGAGACCGCGCACCCTCCGGGTAGTCGATGCTTGGGTCGAACGAGTGCACCTCGCAGCCGAACCCGCTCCGCGGCCTCGTCGAAGCTCCAGTCGTAGTTGATGCCGAAGGAGTAGACGAGGCAGTCGGTGGCTGTTGCCAGCTTCAGGGGCGGGTCTAGGCAGGCGTATTTGTCGCCGTCTACCAGGCAGTTCTGTCCGCCGGCGATGCCGCCAAACTTGATCATGCGCTTGCACGAGCTGGTGGGCACCTCGGGCCAGTCAAACAGGTAGCGGAACATGGCCTGCTCCGACTCGTTGAACGAGCGCTGCTCCGACGTTGAGGCATCTCTGAAACGAAACATGTCTGGAAATGACGCACGTCTGGAAGTTACACATCCATGATCTCACTGTCAGAGACCGCGCCGTCACAACACATGTGTATTGGGACGTTCAATCACGAAGTGATGACTTGTAAGATGATATCAAATGCGTGCCATGACAAGGGAATGTTCGTTGCGAATCATTGCGGAATTAATATATCTTTCGACGCTGAAGTTCACCGCTGAAAGTTCAGGATGTGAGCGTAAGCGAATTACATATGCCTTAAACAGCAATGTCGGTCTACAACATAGGAATCGAAAGTTCCATTGATGGTGTATCTATTTCGCAATCAGTATGTTGCACTTGCTGGCATGATTAATCGATATTTATAATCAATTACTAATGCCATAATAAAGCTTTAAATGGCGTGAAACACCACATAGGACGACCGTAGTAAGAGCTAGAGAAGCTATACGCACGAAGCTGTCGGCCGAACTAATGCGTATCACATATATCAGGGATTTACACTACACTGTGAGGTGATCGGTCGTTGGCAACCAGGGCTGACTTTGCCATGAAAAAATGCCAAGATGTTTTGATCTATTATGGCGCTAATCCTCAGCATGATTTCGTCGATTTGGACGAATCGTGATTTTCCTACGTTGCAAAAAATTAATTAGGTGTCTTGCCGTGCCGAAAAATACCGCTGTTGAGGTTGAAATGTTATCCGTGATTTTACCCTCGCTCCAGATTTCTTCCATCACTAGTCCTCAAAGTCCTAACTTTGAACTGGCAAATTTAAGTCGGCAGGTCTTAGATATAATGTATGGACAGATGGGCTACTTAGATTAATACCGTCGCTATATCTTATTGGAAATAAAGCCGGTGGAAACTCCCAGGGAGTAGACGCCACGGTATATGCAGGCAGCATTTGGACCAATACCAGCAGATGTCTTTGCACCTAAACACCGATGCTGCGAACTCCCACTGGACGCATCCACGTTGCCTTGATGACACGTTGCAATGTCGGGACACGGCGACTAGACACCGCATTGTCACGCACACCCCAGCATGCTCACGGTGCCGTTCTCCGCGGCCCTCTTTCCTCCCTTCGTTTCGTCCAGCGTTGGAGTGGCCGCCACGCTCGGGCCCTCGGCGGGGCCTAGATCAGCACTCACGTGAAGCAGCTGAGCGGCTCGTGGCCACCGTACGCAGCCGAGCGGACCGCCGGGGCGACCGACCGCACAGAGGTCACAGGAGCCGCCCGCAGCGTGTCAGCTATAATCTGGCGCACGTGCGCCAGCGAGCCGCTGGTGCCCTTTGGTGGCTGCGACGGCGGCCCCCGGCCGCCGAAGGTCAGCACGTTGAAGATGACCGTCCAGAGCACGATGGCACCGACGAGTGCCAGACGCGTGATGCCCGACCGGCCCAGGTGACACCGCCGACTGACCTGGGGGCAGTGGCGGGTCACGCGACGTTAGAACGGCGCGGGTGACACTGCCCGCTGACCTGGGGGCAGTGGTGGGGTCACGGGATGTTAGAACGGCGCGGGTCGCACCGTCAGGTAACGTGGAGCAGAGAAGTTGGATGGCAAACCAGTCCAACGAAAACTGAATCAGGAAACGTAAACGAAAATAAGCCCAAAGAGCTAAGATTCTGCAGGGATGAAAACGGAATCTCGGAAAGCCCAAGAGCACAAAGTTGACAATGACAGCAGTTAGAAAAACGTCGAGAGACAAAAAGTCGAAAAGAGTAACAGTTGACAGGGATAAACGTCGGGTTGGCAAAACAAGTCAAAGGGCAAAAAGTCCACATGGGTAAACGTCCATTGGGATAAATGTAAGTAAAGAGGCATTCAAAAAGATTTAATCCAGGAGAGTCATCGGGTGCGGAAACCTGGCGTGGAAGAATGTCACTCTGGTGCATTCGGATGTGCCTGTGGCCCTAATGGGTTTAATCATTTCACATCCCTGGACCCTCCAATCTGACCCATCCCGCGCTCATCCGAAAAACACTCCCGACGACAGCCAGCCCTCGCGACTTCACGGCCGAACGATGCCCAAGGCACATAGTTGGCCCTGGTGCTGTCAGGTGGCCGATCTGCTATCAAGCGCCTAGTTTACCCAGGTATTATCAGGTGGCCGACCTGCTACGAGCACCCTGCTAGCCTCTTTTCGCACCCCTAAAAGTTCTCCTACTTAGCCATATCTTGGGACGGTCACGAGCAACAGAAGTGCACGCGGCAGGAGCCGGCGTACAGCCGCAAATCAAGTTTTTTTTTGTTGTTGTTAGTGCTGGTTCTGGATAGACACTTGCCTGGTTCCCAATGTTGGTTCCTAGTTTCCCACTTCCCCACTACTGTAGACGAGATCTTGGACCCTGGTTTCGAGAGGTGCATTCATAAACACCTCTCCCTGGTTCCTGCATCCCGTTCGCTCTTTTGGACGTACCACACCTTAGCCTAGGGTGATCACTGGTTCTTTCACAAAAATTTGGGTTTCTGGTTCCAACTGGTTCCTTAAGCAACACCAGAACTTAGTTGCCGTGTTCAATCGGCTTCCCACAAACCCCACATCCTGGTTCCTGGTTCCAGCGTCTGGTTCCAATGTTCAGTTCCTGGGTTAGGGGTTTTAGTTCCAATAGCTCTATCACCAACGCCGCCCCCTGGTTCTTCGTTCCAGGGTCTGGTTTCAATGCTCAATTCCTTGGTCAGGGTTTCTGGCTCCAATAGCTCTTTCACAAACACCAGCCCCTGGTGCTTGGCTCCCTCTGTTTCATTCACGAAGACCAAGCTCTGGTTTATGGTTCCGACCGATTCTTCACAAACACCATACTCAGGTTTTTGGTTTAAAACCATTCCATTAGAAAGCACCAGATGCCTGTTCTCGCCTCCCATTACCTTGTTAACTAACACCCGCTCGGGGCTACCAGTTTGCTGTTATCTACTAGCCAGGTCAATGGTCCTGAAATAAAAGATGGTTGCACATTTATGCGTAACATTAACAAGCGCAGCGTGCATGCTATGTGTGCGCTATGTAGATTCCCACCAGCTCCTGACTGCAATTCCAGGTAACAACTGGTCCTCACTGGTTTCCTTGGCTTTATTCATACTGAGCTTGGGTTCTTGCTGGAACTTCGGCGCAAGTTCAGCGTGGTCCCGGGTATTTGCTTGATTTCTGGACATGTTCTAGGTTGGATCTTAATCTATGCGAAATCTCTCGGCTAAATCCATGCTCGGTATTGGTTCTTGCCGGATCCATGTGCGTGATCCAAGCTGGATCTTGGTTCTTGCCGGATACCGTAGCTGAGTGTCATGCTGGACCTGGTTCTTGCTGGTTTCATGAGCACAATTCGTTGCTGAATCATGGATCTTGATGGATCGTTTAGCTAATTTCAGACTTGTCCCTGGGTTTTTCTTGGTTCCGGAACAGGAGCTGGTTTCCGAGAAGAAATCTTAGGAGCCAGGCAAGTTTCTGCTCGCGCGACAGACATGTGACGGTTAAGCCACGTCAGTAAATGTGTTTCAATATCATGCGTCATACGATGTATATCGGTCCATGCGATGTATATCTATCACTTGTATTCTATGGGCGTATGCTTCGAAGGTCAGGAAAGTTGCTTTCAACACATTGCTTGCAACACACTGAGGCATCAAATCGCGCAATTATGCTGCAGTCTTCGAAGCAGGGCTCCCCATCGGCCGATTATCTTTTGACCGGACTACCTGTGACGTGTTTTGGTTTGGATTGCATTCCTGGCGGTTTTTTGCCGATTTCGGATCTTTGTCGCTTAAGTTTGCGTCATTTTGAATTTATTTTGGGTTTTTTACTTTTATTAACGACTTTAATATCTTGACTTTTACTTTTGACTATTCTTGTCGGCTTTTTGTCCATTGATTTTTTGTAATTCGACCTTTAACCGTGTTGACTTTTATCTCCGTCAGCCTTTTGTCGTTCAATTCTGCTTCCCCGATTTGACCCCTTAGGCACTTAGGCTACAAGATAAAAGATTTTTCCACGTGCTTTTTTAGCTCGTTTTCATTCTTCCCAGTTATGAGTACGCGCAGTTTTGATTTTCTAACGATAGGTTTGAATTTTCCAAGCAAGTGCTCATGTAAGGTAGTGCTAGGAATTCGTCGTCCAAAAAGGTGCGTTCCACTTTCCTACGACCCATCCTCCCTAAACGCACTAGATTGTTTTGCTTCTTTCAATATCCTCCCTTAAAGTCGTAGAGAATACCCACTGTCCAACAGCATTTTAACTTAAGTCGTGGAGAACAGCCGCTGCCCAACAACAAAGTCCAGATTTTGTTTATGCTCTCTCTTTCTTTTCCACCAATCGATGAGCTGTTTAGAGCCTTATGTAACATGCTACGAGTTACATTGTGCTTAGTGGAGGTTGGATGCGCAGGCTGGCAGTGCAGAATCATGCCGGAGTTGGTGGGCTTGATAAAAAGCTCCGTTTCTAACGTTGTGCGGTTGTTCCTCCTCTCACTAGGGTATGTAAATATGGGACCCCTTCCTTTCCCGCATATTCCATCGCAAGACTTCATTGCAATGCTGGTTGTTCATGAACTCTAAGATTTCTTCAAGGGCACGCTGTCCGTGCGTCGATTTTCCAGCACCGATGCATCTAGCTAAGAAAGTCGGTTGTAACGGGGTGACGGCCAGGGCCTTCGTTTCAAATTGGTTATAAATTATTGTCGCCACAGAAGGAGCGCATAGGTTCCCCTTTTGCTAAGTCCAATTTTTTGTCGATAGTAGTCGTGTCCGAATGACAAAACATTACCCAGGAGCCACTGTTTTAAGAGACTACAGCTATCCTCTTTTCATAGCCCAAGAGCATTGCTTTCATCTATATATATTTGTATGCAAAAACGTGGTTCACGAAAATTTGTGTAACCTTTGTGAAAAACATGCAGGGAGCGTAGTCTATGTCGTGTAGTCCATGAGGCCTATTCGTTTGACAAATAATTAACTTGTGCGAGACGCCAAAACACGAAGCAGAGAATGCTCTTTTCGACGACCTTTTTTGACGACACACGCTCAGACTGAAAATCAGGGGGGTGCGGACCCTATGCCCCTTTCGAGCTCCAAGCCATCCGCAGAGCACAGAACCACCCAGACAGGAACATAAGTGAATTTTTATCCACAGTTGGCGACCAGATCTTAACGTACAGGGCTCAGTCATGGCCTATTATGTGATATGTGATAAGTGCATCGATGTGTGATGCGTGCCAGCTAAGATCGCTCACGTGTATGGGGGATGCCTGATGCGTAATCCGCCATGTCCGCGCGACTTAAACATGCAAACGATTTCAATGAAGCATGCGTCGCGTATCACGCGTCAGGCATCACCCATACGCTGTTTTAATATTTTGAGCTGGCACATCGAGGCACTAATCACATTTGCATACTCGGCCTTATTGAGGCATGTAGAAGTGATGCATGATGTGCGATGCCTATTTCATTGAATCGCTTGCAAGTATGAATGGTGCGTGATGTGTGATGCCTGCTATCTTGAATTCGTGCACATGTGCACGTATTTCCTGCGCATTTTAATTCTTAATTAGATATGCACTATGTCGTTGTAATGGCTTGCAATTGCTCCTTGTTACATCCCCCATAACGTAGTAGTAATGGGCTTATTCCTCGTAGAAAAACCAGGAGAATGGAGATGCAGACGTGTTGTAATTTCGGCACCATGCCTTTATCGAAACGAATCTACATGTCATTGTCATATACCTGTTTGGCATAATCATATATCGCAATCTATAACCTATTCCGTTTCGATAAAGGCATGCTGTCGAGATATCAACGCATCTGTGCCTCCATTCACCTGTTTTTTTTTTACGAGGAATAAGGCTATCACTTCTGTCTTATCACTTGAATCAGCGTCGTCTTACCATGGGGAAAATGTTGGAAGCTGCTTAATAACTCTCGGCTCCTAGTTGGAATCATACCCTGGGTTTCTCGATATCAATATAACGGCACTATAACCGGTCGGTCGATTAAGTATTCGGTGGTTGCATTAACGCGGGCCCGGGTGACTGGTCGGACACCCTTCGCTCGGGCGGTGGCCAATTTGAACCCCTTTCCTAAGATTTCAGGAACGAAGAAAGCTAGAAACACCAAATTCACAGGGTGCGTGGGCCTATATGTGAACTCACTTAGGACAAAGTTAAGGTCCTTAGATCGTTTCCTTCGGGTCAAACAAGGTCAAAGTTATACTGCAGATTGGTCTCCTTAGTGCCGCAGGACCTAGATACCTGTTCTAAGTAAAATGTAAAATGTCTGTTCAAGGTCAGTGACCTTTTTTGACCTTCTGGAGGTTATGGTGACCAAAATTATACGGGACTGCATTGAGTTTTGCGTCTGAATAACCAACGAAAATAACGCTAAGCAGTATGCTCCTAGAAACAAAACGTTGACCTGGGTCGTTTTAAGTCAGTGACTTATCACGACTTTTAAGAAGTCTGGTAGACGTATACTGCGGTTTCTGTTGTCAATAAATTCGAAATGAGCACCAGAAACTATCCCAAACAGCAAGCTCTAGAGTAAGTAAGCAGGTTGACTTTGGCCTTGGTGGGACCTTTATACCTGACGCTAGGTCATGGAACTTGCTCATTCAATTGTTATGTTTCCTGAGAAAGTGTCTCACAGATGTGTAGGTCCGTCTAACTCTTCATTGTTGCATCAGATTGAGCTATTTGCTTGAAATTGACTTCGCTAAATCCATGGCCTGGCTTGGACTTAATGTAGGTTAGTGCCCTCATAAGTTACATCCAAAAAATGCATTAAACGATTTGCTATTCAATTATCTACAGATGTGCAATATCTGGGGCGGCTACGCCGCGTCGTTCGGAAGCCATTGCGGAAAATTCTACGGGGTGGTAAATTGACCCACATCCGAGCGCGTGTTAATATCGACATATCTAGGTCACCATTCCGGCCTAACGGATGGTAGCAGGCTGAGTCGGGAACGGGTCACGTGATGGCACACAACGACCGAGGGCGAAATGGGAGCTTTTGTAAGGGCAGTGAGCAATGAAGCACAACACGTTGCGCTCGGACAAAGAAGCAGCGGCTCTCAACGTGACTTGATCGGGCTCGGTCGTGTACTCCAGCCGCGGCTCTGACCATGTGCTGACTCTGCCAGAAGGCTGGTCATCGCTCCGCCTGGCGGATCTGTCTGCAGCTGCATGGCCTCCCATGGCTTGAGGGTCTCAACCTCCGGTACTGTTAACTGATGAATGTTCCATTAACGTGCGGTCGAGAAATCGCACTCATTCCTTCATCGCTGGGATTTTAGTACCATCTTCTTTAAATAATTGCCAGTGATTTATGTGTAAGCCGATGATGATCTTCCTATTCTTGCCATCGTGGACTTCTGACGCATATATGATATCATGTCTACATATGATATGGACGCTGCTCCCTGCATTGGTCGATCCATGGAAACACGACTTTGGAATGTACGCGCACCACATTTTGCCTTCACACAGCTAGATTTTTGTGGTAAATTGACGGCTGTGATGTAGGTGCTGGCTGTCAGGATCTGGCATGTGGCTGTCCTACATGATCTCCACAACTCGCACTAGTTCAGGGCAATGTTTTAATGCATTGCACGTGGCTGTCCTGCATGATCTCCACACTTAGCACCACTACATAGCAATGCTGTAATGCTTGTGTCAGCTAACACGAGCAAAACGGTGGTACGAAACTTTTGAATAGATTGTACGGATATTGTATTAAAGTGCTGCGTGGTCCCAATAGCTTGCTTACGTTCATTTTACACATTTGGGTTCCCTCATAATTACTGAGGAGGCGTATCCATTCATGCGAGACGTAATGTTGAGAACGAGTGATCGATTGATTGATAAAAGATTGGGTGCAGCGAGAGCATCAGTGTTTGAATGAGAGCCCTGGAAAGCTGCTCTCTTCCCCTTCGTGATGGATTTAGCATCCTTCATTTTGTTAGTAGTTTTTTACCCTGCAGGTGTGTAAAGCTCCGGCCACAGCATGGACATGGACATGAGTGAGAGGTGGGTGGGCGGTGGCGATACCCGCAACAGTTGGTCCGGGGCGTTGTAGCCGAATGCATGAGCAATGCATGTTAGACCTTCCAAAGACCGAATATTTTAAAGGAGTTTTAGACCTGTATGGGATATCTCCTGTCTGGAAGCAGTATTTTCTGGTCGGTCGGGGAAAATACCACATAAAACTTGGGGTTGGGGGGCATGCTGGTAGGGCGAAGTCAGGAGACCTTCTAGACGAGCAACTGCTCTCCTATAGCAGTAGCAGTGAGTACCTATAGCAGTTCCTATAGCAGGTGAGTGTATATGCTTTTGGATATGGTTTGAGGAAATCTCATCTTTACGTCGCATGGTCGGGATATATGACAACGAACTCCGCTAACGAACGGAATATATGACATATTTATGTGACAAGACGGGGGAACATCTCATTTCTGACTGTCGCAAAATGCTGTCGTGACGGCTACGCGGCTCAATGAGCATCCGGAAATGAGCTTGGAGTGGACCCCGCAGCGCGTCCAGCACTTACCCACGCCACGAGGGCCATAGCGGCTGGTGTCCGCCGGCACCGCAACTCAGGCCGGCGAGTCCTCCGCGTCGCCGTCGCCCCCGCTCGGCCGGCCGCGCCTGTCCCGGTCGGTCGACCGGCAGCTCGTGGGCCCGTCTAACGGTCCGGCGGCACGCCCAGCACTCCTCAGGCGTCGCTTTCGAGTGGAGACCGGCCTGGGAAATGCCCGCTCGCATGAGGAGCGTCGTGCCGGTAAATCAGGGTCTAGGGCGAGCCAGCCAGCCGACAACTAACGGAGTTTAGCGCCCAATCCTGAGCACAGCGCATTTTGCCGACGGTGTTGTAGAATTGTCAAAATAAACTTAATAATAAGAAACTTAATAAACTGTCAAAATAATCAGAAACTCAATCTTTAGAAAAAACATAAAAGTTTTCCATCTTCCCCCTGTTCATTTGGTATCTTTCTTCTCTTTACAGTTATTTCCCAAAGTGTTCATGTTAGCTGTTTTTCCGTTTTCATCTTATCATTACATGGGGTTTACATGGGATGCGGGCAGCGCATGCCAGTATTCCGTCGGTGGCAAGTGTTTTAATCCAAGGCACAATAACAATTTTTCATGTTATGCAGCCTTGTTTTCGTTAATAAGAACATTTGGAGTCTACGTTACGAGGTCTACGCAGTTTGCTCTACGTTTTGGCGTGAAAAATTTATAAGTTCGATAGCTTGACGAGATGACATCGCAGTGTGCTGTTGCGCGTTCGCCTAATGAACCCGAGGTGCGTGTTGTCTACGTTTGGCTAATCAGGCGCCGGGATCGTCGGCGTTTTCCACATCCATTGTACGCGCGACCCTCTAAAACTTCACCAGCCACCTAAGGTGTAAACAAATGACAACATTCATGTTGAGCTGGGCTGAAAGCAGCGTGAAATGGTCCTCGATAATCTGAACAGGATGCAAGGAATTGGGCATGGTTGCGGATGTTACATAGTCGTCAAACCGTGTCATCGGATTTAAGGTGGTGTTTTACACTATGTTTATTTAAAAGACCACATTACTATGACGTCACTAGAAAGCAATTTACCATGTTAGGAAGCCGCTGGCACGCCGCCTCCCAGGTCATCTACATGTTGACCCTTCATCGGCGGATGACGCCTGCAATGAGGTTATACGGGTTAAGCCAGGCTCACATAGGCTCGTCACGCTATTTTGAGAAGCAAACGCAGGGCGAAAAGACTCTTAGTGTCTACATCGGAATTAAAGACTTTGGATCACGGCAGTCGGACTGCATGCCAAATCATTACCAATCATCATTCCGCTACGTCGAGAGCTTAGCATGGGATGCCATCAATTTAGGATGGGATAGCTCTTTTACATGGCATCAAGTGTCTATCACTGAACACAAAGTATTTAGTGTCCTGGAAATACGGAATCGCTGTTGTTGGTAGTTGTTACGTACGGTACGGAAACGGAAAGTTGCAGGTAGTAAGGATATCAAAGGATCCTCTATTTTTGATGAAACGACCCGCCCATCTTTACAATACCGCTTTTCGCAGGCTTACGGCTTTGTTCCCACGTTATCCGGCTGACCGGACCGGTCAGCCAGCCGACTTAGACCAGCAATGTCGAACATTCGTCTACATGTCGGTCTGAGACCTGGAGGCTCCTTTCCCACGCAGGGCAAGGCCGGCGCCCCGCAAATGTCAGTCATAAGGCCCCTTGCATTGTTCGGGCCCCCTGGAACAGTGAGGAGCTCATATGCTGCCAAGGGGCACACACAGGGACCCTGCATCTGCAGTGGGTCCTAAGTCGGGCAAGGGCACATTTCCTGAACATAGACAGCTACGGGAACACGAATGTCAAAGGGGCTCTTACGTTGGGAAGCTATCTGGACAATTCAAGGAGATATGAGAAATGACGATGCAAGTGTTGTTTTCATCATGAGAGGTGAAAGGTCCTACTTCATTCAGAGGCCCCGGTACCGAACGAGGTCCCTCCGGGCCGTTTCAAGCAGGGGCTGCTAAGCCAAATTGGTGTCTCTGTGCCCATTATTAGACTTCTTGCGCCAGTAAGAGATTCCTTTGCGTCAGGGAGGGTCCATCGCTGGTCTGGTGCTAGATACCTCGGTCGGAGAGCCTGCCGCATCAGGAGTGGGACCGGCGCGGTGTATAATGCATCCCTTCGAGGGCCTCCGCATCGGCCAGGGGGCTCTGGTCCCCGGATCGCCAGAATGACGGCGCTAGGGACCCCGGGGCTGAGATGGAGGGGGCCTTCTGCTCCCGACCAGGTTGTCCGCGGGGCCGATGCCGTGTGGCTCATGTAGACTGTAACGGCCGGGCATCCGGGCCTTCTGCTCCCGACCAGGTTGTTCTGCGGGGCCGATGCCGTGTGGCCCATGTAGACTGTAACGCCGGGCATCCGGGCCTTCTGCTCCCGACCAGGTTGTCTGCGGGGCCGATGCCGTGTGGCCCATGTAGACTGTAACGCCGGGCATCCGGGCCTTCTGCTCCCGACCAGGTTGTCCGCGGGGACGATGCCATGTGGCTCATGTAGACTGTAACGCCGGGCATCCGAGCTATTCATCCTTGACTGCATAGGATTTGAGACACAAAAGTGCATGCTTAAACTATTTCATGTCATTTCTCGCTGCTGGGTTCTAAGGACGTAACGAACTTTCTTAGGTGAACGCGAGTTGGAAATATCAATGCAAATGTTTTATCCTGTCTCGATCCACGCTGGCATTCAACCCACGGTCCCCAAAACGTGTGTGAAACGTCGTGAAAAACCATCAACGCCCCTGACTCTTTCATAAATGGGGCCGAAAAAAACACTATAAAGTTAACAGCGCCCGCGTTTCACTCGGTAAAGTGACTTATTTCCTGGCTGGTTTCTTTTATTTGCGTCTAAATACTTGCAGAATTGTGTTTTTTGATAGCTTCTGACATTTTGCTCAGTCAGAGAAAATCAACGTAAAAAGAGAGAGAACTGACTTCGAAATAAAGTGGGCTGTATGCAGCGAAACACTTTTGGGGTGATTTGGGGATAGGATTCCATACTGCCTTTTCACCGCTTCGGTGTTATGAAAAAGTTTCTATTCATCGGGTTGATAATTATGTGTTATACTTAAATACCCGGCGGATGCATATTTGAACAAGCAACCCATGTATATGTACAGTCGGTAATTTAAGCCACCTTTTTGAGATGTGCGAAACGTGGAGCGTCTTCAATACCTTTGAGGACAGCAACAGTGAAAATTTGTAATTACTACAACAAAACTGTTTGTGCCCCTCCCCTTGACATGTTCGGTTGGTTACTGGTGTAACCAAATAAACATGGATGCAAGATGTCTGAGAGATCGTCTCGTGCCGGTAGCACGCGATGGTGACTCTTGGCAGTCTGGCCGCAGACAACAGCAGCCGTGTATTTCGAAAGATGTTCGCATCCGAGCCAGCGGTTCAGTATACCTACTACCCTCGGTTTTTCAATCTGTGGAACCCATACTACTTATGCAACGTCGTGGTCACATTTTTCTGTTCAAATTTGAGCAATTTCCGTGCTCCTTCGTGATGTCCAAAGCATGCAGCACAAGATCCGCATGGTAAGGACATAAAACAAGCTACACATTCCACAGAAATGGTCATTTGTTTACCACCAGAACGAAAATCGTGCCGAAAGTCTGCGCATTTCACTGGCTTCGCCGCTTTATCGCCGCCGCCAATTTCACTGGCTTCGTCACAGCATCCACAAACATTTCAATATTTTTTGTTCAGTGCGTTAGCGAGGAACATTATTCCCATAGATAAGAGAGTAGTATAAGTCTTGTTCCTCGGAGAAAAAAGCAGGAGAATGGAGCTTTAGTTGGGTTCTATATCCCAGCCATATCTCCATTCCCCTGTTTTTTCTCTCTCCGTGGACTAATGCTAATACTACTGTTCTATCTACTTCAATATCTGCGTCATACGATGTCATGTGAACCATTGCGATTGCACCAAATTCCAAGCATCAGTGAAGCGTGGCCCCTCCCATGACGAATTCCTGGATCAGCGCCTGTGAAGGGATTGCCTATGTTTTCAGCGCCCTGTTATGCAGTTCGCCCGCTTTGCCCCGCGAGACGCAGTGCTGGCAGTTCAGTAGCGGCATCACTAGCACTGCTGCAGTGCATTAGTTCTCCAGTCGAACTAGCACAGAAGAAGCGCGGTAAGTGCGCTGTTGTGCAGAAGCGGAGCCGACATGACGCTCAAGAGGACACAGACCGCCGATCCGGGCCTCTTGCCGAACATGGACTCGCCGTGGAAGCCTGTCTGAGTCAAGGGCAATACCGAGGTTCGGCGGCCGGCGGCCGTGGGGGGCCATCTACCGGCCGCCTGACCCACTCTGGATATCTAGACGGGCGCTTCGTGAAGTGAAATCGCCGGGAAAAGCTGTCATCGCGCATGATGATGCAGCTATGAACGTTTGCCGGTCATGACGTGCATGGAGTCAATGAAGTCCTTCGCAAACTGCAGCTTTACCAACCAGTTGACACACCCCCTGCGCGTATGGCCATCAACAAGCACGACCGACCATATCACCGTCGGCCTGCCGGGGACGATGATCTGGTCAACAGTCGGGGTGCTCAATGATGGCATCAGTGGTCACCAGGCGATGGTTGCGATAGCATCCAATACTCCTGAAGAAGGCAGCTCATAATGGGACCGAAAAATCCGCAGCTAATGGACAGATATCAACTGGGATAATCGTGGCATATCCAACAATGGATCCACATCATTTGCGATAACATTCCGACCATGTTGTATGCTGACTAGGCTCCGTTCTGCCTGGTGGGCGGCGAGACAGTGTGCCTTCAGCCTGCATGGCGATGCAGGTGTAGGGTGGCTTCCTGTGATTTACACTACCACGACGTTGGCATCACTCTTACCGCCGCCTGCAACGCCTCCGACGAGGTCCAGTGGGTCCCGACTGACCGACCGCTCTATACCACTGAATTTCTGTCGGAATTCCTCTAGAAATTAAAACAATCTTTATGCCGGATGGTCTCAGCCGGCATTGCATTCAGAACATCAAATGTCTTCCTGGATGCGTCCGTACACGCCCGGTC